TTTATCCGTTTTTAAAGAATATTTTGCATAATCCACCATATTTTTATCCAAAATGCTTTAACTTTTTTACAAGTCCACCATACATGATAGTATGTAGCATCAGCACAGTCACATCTCCAGCATTTAGGTTGTAAATTCGAATACATAGAGACCAATTTTTTAGGATCTAAATGCCATCTAAAAAACATCTCATAAAAGTTTTCTCTCAAATTTTGGGCTTGTGTAAATTTTACATTTCTTACCCAAATCTTTTCCCATGTATCCAACATTATTGGTTCCCAATTTTGTGCCCACTTTATCATAGAATCTTTAACTAATTCTGTTTCCGAATCCATCTGTATTAATACATTATATATCCTCTTTATATGCATTGGACTTTGATCTGTAATTTGTTTTAGTAAATTGTCCTCGTCTTACATAAAACCGATTTTTTGATCTTTTTTCCATCTGGCCTGTAACTGCCCATACTGAAACCACGTTTGAATTGCCTTTTCCCTTTTTTAGTACATTCGAGGGTTTTAATTGTAATACACCTCTTTCTAAGGTAAGAAGCTGTCTGTATGTAATTACATCCTGTTTTTGTACTATATTTTTTTTCTATTTGGTTTCCTTTGTCTTGTTTTTCTTTTCCTTCCTATCCTTCATTCTCTTGTTCTCTAATTCATGTAGCCCAACTTCTATCATTTTTTTTCCCCAGCTTCCTGGACATGGGTTAATGTTACACCCTGTGTAGATGTTCTGGATTGCCTCGTTTATCTTGATCTAGCTTTTCTTTGGACTTCCGATTCTTCTTCCTGAACAGGAATGAGGTATGACCTGTGCCTCTCCCTGACTTGTGAAAGTGACATAGTACTGCTGGTGGTTGTAGACCAGTACAACCTTACAGTAGACCAGTACAACCTTACAGTACTTACAACTAATGGTGTAACAGGAGCAATCAGTGATGTAGAAACGTATTCCTCAGCCTGTAAACAATTTGAGATACTGCTTTGTATGGCTAATGCTGCTGAACCTGTGATGTAGGAGAATTTGTGCTAGAAAGCAGATTTTTCTGAATACCAGTCACTGAGATAACAGTCGATGTGGATGTAATGTTTGGAATACTAGAATTAGTCATGTTATCCTGTCTTTTACAAAAGGAACCACTTTTATGATAGCTTGAATTAAGTGATGAAGGTCCTTCATTTCATATATTACCTCTGCATCTTATTCCCATTTTCTTCTACTATAAGATCCACTACCATACTATTACACTGACTTAAGAATCCCTATTTTCTTACTCTTCAGATTCCCAGCCGGACATGTTCATGTTGTAAGTGCCATATATGGACGTTGTTGTTTTTATATCTTTCTCCTTGTCTTTGTTGTCTAATGAAGAGGACAATCTAGGGCTTGAAGCTGAAAGTGTGAAACAATGCAATTTTTTTCTCTTCTGAATTGGTTTGCTAGCTGTAATCTTTGCCAGAACCCTGTAATTTTTTATTTATATATTTATATCCTGGCTTTATTATTTTTACAAGTAACCCAAGGGGGTGAACATATCCAACACATCTTCCTCATCCATTGGTGCATAGGAGAGACTCAAAAAAAGTCTGAACAGAAATGGCCTTCAGATTTTTGGGAAACTCTTCAAGCACCTCCAGAAACCAAATGAATCTTGCAGAATTGATGGTAGTCCTATGACCGGGTGGCATGCGGAGCCATTTGTCAGAGCACGCGAGACGTTGCCCTGTCAGCTGGCAAATGTGCATGTGCATGCTGGCCAGCTGAGTTCAGCCTTTTTTAAAGCCATTTTTCGCCCTCCCCAGGCTCCAGAGGCTTTATAGAGCCGAGGTGGCGCAGTGGTTAGGGTACAGTACTGC